GAGTGTCCGAGTGTGTGTAAGGGGTATAAATTAAAAAGAAACTATTGTAATTATCAGAAAACATTAGAGACGCTTGCTGTCCTCTGCCCTCTGCCCTTTGCTGGAAGATAAAGTGGCAAAACTGTCCAGGGTGTTGTTAGCTGAAAATGAGACGGACTTAACATATATATGACTTGCTATGTGAAACCTTAGCTAAGTATAGCATCAGTTTAAATTTACTGAACTGAAATTATGGCTCATATATATGTATATATCTCTTTCAGTGAATAAACATTCAGTTCGATACTCGATCCGGCTAAAGACAATTTGAGATCCGAAAATACTTAACCCGCTGGGCACACACGTTAATGAATTTGGTTTAAGTTTTACATACAGTGCGTATACGTAATACGAGCTCTCTACGTTAGTGTGAGCTCAGTGAGCTCAGGTGGATTGCTGTTAACAGGTGGATGGCTGTTACACACAAAAACCACTCAAGTGGTACTTTAATGACCTCACAACCATGTGTGTGTGTGTGTGTGTGTGTTGCCACGCTAAAAATTTGATACTTTGCCCATATTTAGCCGGATTATTTCAAATAAACTCCAAAGTGTCTAGAATTTAAGCCTTTACCCGTCAGGTTGAATATAATACGCATCGCAGTTAATACAGATCGGTACTGTTATTGTTTTTACACCAATTCCTTATTGGCTGGGCTGCCAAGAGTGGGCATGCCCCCCATTCCGATGCGGACACCGCCCGTTGTTTACACCTCTTGGCGGCTAACAAAGAAACTGAATCAACGCCGTCGCGTCGTCGGCTAATACCTGCATAATTGTTGTGCTAATTTTGCCAGCACGCCCAGTTAATGTTTCTATTGACACCGACGACTGTGGGGTGCCCCTGGCCCGCCCGCTAACCGCGGGTGCTGTTTGCCAAGACCGGCCATTTAGGTAGTTACAGTAAACTACTGCTACAGTGTGCACTGCTTTGACATTGTTTACGCTTACTTATGGGCTTGGCTGCCGGCTTTTGCCGTGGACGGGCGAACGACAGACGGCGTGGTCTGCATGGTGATTAAACTAATTTAATGCAGCTACAAGCCGCAACGGCGAGCTAGGTAAGGCCAGGCGGGGTAAAAAGCATTTAAAACATTCAAAGTGTCGCATGAGAAGGACGCTCAAGTCGCAGTCAAACGACAGACGTTAACGAGCTGACTTCGATAGACGCTAGCGTTGCCCTGCTCCTGTCCGCTGTTGCTGTCCCTGACCCCAGCTCGTTTTCACTTGCTGCAGACGAATGTGTGCCACAGTAGCAACTGCCAAGTGGCGAACAAAAAAGCAACAACAAAAATAGAACGAAACAAAGTTTAGCAATAAAAATCTAAATAAAAACCCGAGTACTGCCAGCGACACGGCGCGGCTGCTAATAAAGTCATTGCTGCATGCTGCCGGTATGGTGTTCCTCCCTCACCCACACCCACACCCCCACCCCCAGCCTTATCCTCATTCTCACCCTGACCCTGCTAAGGGGCGTCGCCAGTGAGTTCATTAGCAGCAGCTAACCTTACAAAGCCTTAGCGCGTCTCAGCTGTTGTTCCTGTTGTTGCTGTTGTTGTTGTTGTTGCTGTTGTTGCTGTTGTTGTTGTCCCCCCCAAGTTTTTCGCACAGTTGCCACAGCCGCTGTTAATTATAGCTGAAACTCGAGGTGAACGCGCCGCGAGGCGTCTCTACGGTAGCTAGGTAGGGGCTAGCGTGCACCGTCCCTTACTGGAAATTTATAAAAGTTACACGTAGATTGACAGGCAATTTGTTATTGTATTATATTGAGGCGGTTATTTGGCTGCCGCAACTAGCTCTATTGACTGAGTGTAAATGCTAGCGAGTGGCAGCACGCGTGTGTGTGTGTGTATGTGTGTGTGTGTGCGTGTGTGTGTGGGCTTTGTACGTGTGTGGTCTGCGGTTTAACTGTGTGGCTTTTGCAGCAGTGAGAGCAATAACAACCACTATTACTACAACAAGCGGCAACAACAACATCAACAACAACAGCAACATCAACAACAACAACAAGTTCTGTTCGTATTCATTAGTGGACAATTAACCAAAAGCGAATTCTATCCAAAAAGGCAATTATTGTAAATGCGTCGCATTAGACTTGACTCTTCAACACGAGCCTGAAAGTTGCTCACACACACACACACACACACACACACATGCATACATGTATATACACATATGTATTGACCGCTATTAGCAGTAACCCAATGCAGGTGCTGCACAACAGTAACAACAACAACAACAAGAACAACAACACACATTATGGAACTTGACCAATTGGTGGTTATTGAATCTAATTGCTATCGCACAAGTTCATAATTCACACGAGCCCAAACACTAGATTGGCTTGTGGGGCTCGACTATGTAATACCCTGTGACATTTCATCACGATAACTCCCGAGAGACGCGTGTTTTCGCAAAGTGAGCAGAGTCACGCAACCACAGAGACCTTCGTAACGCAACTTAAGCCGTAAGCCGTAAGCCGTAAGCCGCGCTGCACTGCAACCGGAAATAGCTGCAAGTCCGACAACACAATTTTCCATTAAAATCAAAACGTTGTTCCTAAAATCCGAAACGAGTTGCATTTGAGTACTGTCTGATAAAATCAGCAGGGCATGCCCAGGAATGGCATAAACTCGGAATGTTTTCACGAATTCCAACTAATTGTAATTATAGAACTTCATTAATGCAAAATATAGTAATCTAAGCAGGGTAGCACTCGGCTGGGCAGCTCTGACCAGCGCAATCTTACATTTGTGTAACAATTTAATATTAGTTTAGGCAAAATAATTGATTGATTACGGACGTAGAGTTAGGTGAACCGTTATGTCAGCACAAAAAGATTTCATGCCACAGCGATTCGTGGAGTTTTTGTACTTTATTTTGTGTATTTCGTTTTCAGTTTCGTATTCGTTTTCGTCTTCATTTTCAGTCCCTTTCTGGGCTTTCGTGTACAATTTGTAGTGAGCAAAGGACCCGGGACAAATAAAATGTAATGTCATCGAGATAAGTAGCATGCTCCACACAAGGGGATTGTAAAGTATCCAAACTCGATATAGGCGAGCATAACTATATTAGTCTGCTACGCAATCTCTCTCTCTCTTTCTCTTTCTCTCTCTCTCTCTCTCTCTCTCTCTCTCTCTCTCTCTCTCTCTCTCTCTCTCTGGCCAATCCACACTCTCGGTTGAGTAATAAAAAACTCACGGAAACATATTCCATTAGATTTGCTGGGGCATCGCATCGCAAGTTATATATATTTATGAATGTAGTCGCAGTCGTTCGGCTATTCCGCAGCTGGCGATAAATAATGAAAGTCTCAAAATGTGTGCCCCACTGACACAACAGGGGCAGCAGGGGCAGCGGATATTCGAGCAAAAGTAAAGAAAAGAGTTGGCCCCCGAAGTAAACAGCAGGCGGCGCAGAACTTTGGCATGTTGCAAGTGGAGTGTGGGATGTGGCAAGTGGAAAGTAGCTGGCGCCAACATTCCGGCTCGTGCGCACATATTTGTGAATAAACATATGAGAAACTATCGTCTGTTACGTTTATGATAATATTTTATTTAAGCAGGAATCGCAGGAGTGGCAGGAGTGGCGGGAGTGCGCGGGTCGCTCTGTTGCATAAAGGTTAACGTCAGAGATGGAAAACAAAGTGATAGGTTACGCACACACACACACACACACACGCATACACACACACACACATACCCACACACACACATACATACACACACATGCACACTTAAACTCACACACAGCCACACCCACTTATTACGAGGCACGCCCCGCCAAACATTTGTCTATTATATATTTATTGTGCCACGCACTTGGCCCTCCGCCCCCGCCCTCCAGTGTGACATGGCCCGCGGTCACAGTGGCAGCTGTTGCTGCCCTCGCGGAGACACTTGATGGCATCGATAGCGCAACTTTGCAGAAGCTGCGCTGACTTTTGCGGCTTGCCTGCGATAGGCACAACAAAGTTTTCTGTCAGCTGTCGCCCGCCCGCTCTGCTCCTGGCCGCTCTTCGAGTTCGAACCCAACTTGTTGCATTGACAGGCAACTTGGAGTGCAAGTTGCGATGTCGATTTGCTGCCACCGTGCGCAGCATGTCAGAGATAAGAGCATGTTGCAAGTGAACTTTTGCAGCACAGCGATGGGGAGGGGGAGGAGGGGGCGAGCAGGGAATCACAGTATGTGACTCGAGTGGTTATTTTTGCAAATTGCATGTTACCCAAAGAGCAGTCGGTAAGCGTGCTGACAAGCTGCAACTTCAGCAAACATCTAGCAGGAGACAGCAGCAGGCACCACCCCACCGCCCACTCAACCTGGCCACAATATAAATAGCACTGATTTGTGCTCACACAAATGCGAGCGAGACTCGTGCGGGTCTGCTGCTATCTGTAACCGACTGCGTCGACTTGCTGGCAGCCCAAAAGTTAAGCCCAACCAACCATACAACCCATTTGTTTATTATGAAAATACAGGCGGTCGGTGTGGGGGCGGCTGGATGTGTGTTTTGCTGCTGCTCTCGGTACTGCTGCTGCTGCTGCTGCTGTTGCTGCCCACAAAAACCTTAAACTGATGACACACTTCACGTGGAGGTTTTTTGCCTCTGGCCCGCTCAGCGTTCAGTGCTGAGCGCTCAACGCTCCACGCTCAGCGCTCAACTGCTGCTGCTGCTCGACTCTCTGCTGCTGCTGCTGCTGCTGTTGCTGCTGTTGTTGTTGCATTTCCGCCTGAATGGCGTTTGTGCTTGAAGCAACTAACTGCCTGGGATGGAGTGGGGCAGAGATTGGCAGAGTGGGGCTGCAACTGTGGCTGTTTGTAGCTATCGCAAGTGTGTCACCGAGCAAGAGGCCCAGCCACGTATCTGTATGGGTATGTGTGTGTGTGTGTGTGTGTGCGTCGTTAACGTTAAAACTCTACTCCGTACATGGCACACTATATTGACTTTGAAGCATAAAAAGCTTTTCTGGATACTCCAATTCACAAGGGGGTGGACTCTTTATTACAACCCTCTCAAATGAAGCCTTCATGTGTGTATGCATGTGACTATCTCTGAATGTGTGTGTGTGTGTGTGTTTGTGCACTTGAGTGTGTACGTTTCGGTTGGCTCGGGCTCGGGCGAACTAGAACAAAGAAACGGGCTAATAACATCCAGCGAACAAAACGGGACAGTATTACGTGGATATCTTCTTAGTCGGGGAGACGACAGAGCTGTTCTGCGGATTTGACGAACTCCATTCAGACTCGAATAAATTACAAAAGTCCTGAACAAAGCTCTTCAAACTAATCATGCGACCGTGCAGCTCGGTAAAGCTGCGCTCATCGAAGACTTTCAGGCGTATGCGATCCTCTGTGTCCTTGGTCTCTGAGGCACGCTCCAAGTACCCTTTGCGCTGCTTCAGAAGCTTGGTGCACTGGCGACTGCAACAAGTCACAAAAGTTACCATGTCCTTGATCAGACTCTGAGCCAGGAGATAGCGGTCCAAGTCATCCTCCTTCTCCTTCTCTTCAGCTGACTTCGCAGCGGCTACCTTCTTAGCAGATTGGTCCGGCTTGAACTTGTCCCAAATGAAGGCTTGAAACTTGGCTCCAATGGCCTGCAGCTCATCCGTCATGCCCCGCAAGCCATTTAGTATGAGATGCATCAGACCCTGATGAAGGTATATACATATGAATATCTGAATAGCATATGAATCGATTGCTTACATTCATTTCGGTCATGTAGTGCATGTCGGAATGGATGCTGTAATCTGGCCACCAGTCGTCGTCCGCATCATCTTTATCATTTTCAATCTCCGCCTCAGACACGAAGCGCGTGGAGACTATTGTACGCAGCGTCTCGAAACGCGGCAGCATCAGCTCTACGATAAGGCCTTTCAGCTCCGGATTTACATACAATGGGTTGCGCTTCGTAGCGCTCTTCTCGATCTGATTACTTTGGATTTTTGGAGCTGGCATTTTGAGCGAGTAAATGGAAACTATGTATAACTGGCTGCTGTTTGAGTGCTGAGTGATATGTGAGCTTACTAAATAATACAATCGACATAAATGAACTGAAAGTTTGATGTTACAGCTGCCTGAGGTTTTAGTACCTACTAGGGTCTTCAGTTCTATACAAAATAATCCATTAAATTACTATTTTTCTTTCATTTCGTGTGACATAAGCTAAATCTCAATTAAAAAACATATTTCAACAATGGCAAATCAAATCGAAAAACGTCCTTTGGCTGCTGTTTGATTATGTATACGCAACGTTCGCCGGCGCATATGTATTTGCCATAGGGTTTATAAAACTGTCTGAACGGGCACACGTGCAGGACACTAATACGCAGATAACGTGTTGGTTTATGCAAAATGCAATGTGCGTTTATATGAATGTGTGTGCGTGTGTGTGTGTGCATTGCTTGCTTTAAGCTAATTGTTGCTGGCGCTTTTACCAAATGCTCGACGCCATTGTTGCAGTTCCGCTTGCTGCTTCTGCTGGTTTTTTTTCGGCTCCCCTTCCAACTGTTGGCATAATCCACGTAGTCTATATATATATATGTGTGTGTGTGTCTATGTGTGCGTATTCATTGTTTGTGTTTAAACCACAAACAAAAAAAAAACAAAAAAGTAAAGAAGAAGAAAAAACCAACAGAGCTCGCAGTTAGTCGTCGGACTGGGCTGAGCCCAGATGCACAGCCAAACGGAGCGACAGAACTTGGTGACAGTTCTGCCTGGCTGTCGAGCAGACAGTGGGGCAGTGAGTGGTGCAGCACCGGGGCAGCCGGCAAATATGTTGGTGTAACAACTTTCGAGATTTGTGTCAGCTCGTTTGAGAATTAGTCGTAGGTTTTAGTAAAATTAAAAAAATGCTGTCACTTTGTGCGGCTGGCATTTGCCGTCTCATTGTTCTGCCGTTGCGTCTGCATATGGGCACACATACACAGCCAGACCCATCTACCCATATAGACATGCCCGAATAGACTTATAAATGTGTGAAGAGATTTGGTTTTATTTCGGGCTGGGCGTGGGAGCTATCTTCAATTATTTATGCGCCGCAAAATGTGCAAAGTAATTTATTCAGATGATATGCAAGAAACAGCCAGCGAACCAAACAAAATGTATAATAAAAAACAAACAGAAAAGGGAGCCAGCCTGGAGTGAAATGAAGATGAAGCCCTTTTCAAACGGCCGCCAAGTGTCCAGAGTCAAGTGCAGAAAATTAAGCTCTGCACACCTGCCGGATGCTTGGCGGCATCTACCTCAACTTGGCCGTAAAATATTATGTTGCTATAATTTAGCTTTAAAATCGCACCACACTGTCGCCGGCGCAGGCGGAGGGGCGTGTGGACGGACAGCACCTTGGCGCACGCACTTAAACGGAAATAAAATAAAATTACAAAAAAGTGGGCAACTTTTTTTCTTTTTTTTTGACATGGCGATTGTTATCCTTGCCGCTGCTGCTGTTGTTGTTGTTGTTGCTGCTGCTGTAAACGGCTGACAGAAAGTGATTTAGAAACTATGCCAATGCTGCTGCTGCTGCTGCTGCTCCTGCTTCTGCTGCTGTTGCTGCCACAACTGGCCCGCTACAGTCATTCAGACTTGGGGTTGTGCCGCGGCGTTTGGGGCCGTTGGCAGCCATAAAGGTGAATTTAAATTTGGCATTTTTTTTTTTTTTGCCGGCTCGCGTTTTCATTTGTGCCGCATAAAATATGCCATTGAAATTTGCAATTGAAATTGAAATGGAAATGGAAATTGAAGTGCCTTAACAACTCTCGACTTGTAAATAAACGTTTAACTGCCACGAGTGTAATGCAGCATAAATCAATACGGCAATTGATTGTCCCGCTTCACGTGGCGCACTTATTGGCCCGCTCAAGGTCTGCCCGTTTGCCTCTCCGAGTGCCAATATGCCGGGAATGTCAGAGCGGCGTTTACATATTTAATGCGCTCTAACTGGCTTAATCAGCATTACAAAGTAATTAGAGTTAATTCCTTTGTACTCGTACGCTTCTCATGTGCCCGCTACTTTTTCTCTCCCTCTCTCTCTCTCACACGCTCACGCACACCTGCGGCGCTAGCACACGGAATTTTTGTCTTGCGAGAATGATGCTGCGAATATTTGTAAACTGTTGCGTGGCAATTTGCATGGTTAATTATCTATTAACCTGCGCATAACTTTTATACAAGCGGATGGATGGGGGGGCCAGTTACCTGCTACTTGTAGATATTAACACACACACACACAGACACAGTCACACTCCTATATATACACACACAGAGACAAACAGAGCAACGCGCACGCAAGACAAATATGTATGTATGTGTGTATGTATATCCGTTTCCGCTTGCTGCTCTGCCGCAGCCATTGTCGCCGTCTCTTTCCTGTTTTTGTTATATAAGAGGCAGACAACAAGCGCCGAGAGGAAACGGAAAGGGGGGTAACGGTATAAAAACAAGTTATGCTAATCTTAATGCGATGCCATTTTCAGTTGCCATTCACAATTTAAAGCAGTCCTTTTGTTCTGATGCCGTCCTCATCGTCGTCGTCATGCCGCTGCATGCCGTAATTTATGCTTATTAAATATTTGTGCTTAATTAAAATTTAATTTTAACTACACAACAGCTGCCTGCAACTGGCAGCTCCCAGCCAAGAACTGACAAAATGAGTCCAGGTCGGGACTCGGAACCGTCACGGATGTCGCCTGAGAAAGGGTATGCAGCGAGGCCTTTCCCCAGTCGCTCAGAATGAAACCCAGTTCAAGGCCATTTTTACCTATTTATTGTGCATGAATTATACATATATTTTCGGTATTGTGATTGATAGTGGTTTGGGCTAATTTAAAAGAGGAAGAGCACTCCCCTCTGCTCTTTCATAAGCTTCAGTGGTCAAGGATGCAAAAAAAAAAGTTTTGGTATTTCAACTATTTTAATGTAGATTTTTCAGCAATATCCGATGCAAGGTAAACATTTTCCGGATGCTGTGCGAAAACAAATACTGGGGAATACAAGCCCTCTCTAATTGAACCATTTGGGCGTGGAGGGATACTTATAATCAATTTGAACCCTTTTTCGCTTAATTTTTAAGGGGCCGCAATCATCCTCAATCGATCTACATTATTGACACATTTTTAACAAATTGCCAGAGTGCATGGATTCCGTTTGCGGGCAGTGTGCTTTCATTTTTTCTCAGTTTCTTTGCTGTTGTTGTTGTTGCTGTGTTTTTTTTATATCTGAAACGTGTTTGGCATCCTAGAACGAAAGGAACTACTCGCAAAAGGTTGCATACCTTTCGACCCGACTGGGGAAGCAGGTCAACGGTGTGTTATATTTGTTTGTTTTACTCTCAACCCTTGTCAAGTGCAACCCCCGCTGCTGGCATTGCTGTCCTGCTCCTGACGTTCATTTCTGACTGCTCTTCTGGCATGTCCTTGCTCCGCTTTGGCGCCTCTGCGCCCCCGCCCTGCCCAGCTTGGCTGGCCTTAATTATGTGCGGCCCAAGACAAAATCAAATGCACACGCCACTCACATGCACAGAGTCCTCACCTCACAGCTCCGCTCCCCCCGTTCCACTGCTGCCAAGCCTCAGCCTAGTTAATTGCTCGTAGCGCCACTTGACCGAGCTGCTGCACTGCAGCACGCTGCCTACTGACTACTGCCTACTGCCTGCTAGTTACGTTTACGTTTGCGTTTACGTTCGGGTTGACAGCTTAAACTAACCGCCCGCTGCCCCCACCCACAACACGACTTTACTTTCGGCCGCCTCTGGGTCCATTTTTGATTATTTAAAGAGACTCGGCGACCATTGTCTGGGCTTGACCTCCCGGCTGGCCCGGCTGTCCTGGCTGGCCTGGCTGAACTGGCTTCCTGCCTCGGTTGCTTCTCTTGTTTATTTATTTGCCAACGCCTTTTCGTCGCTGCCTGGGCGATGTCTTTGTCCGGCTCGCTGCGTTGCCATGCACAATCTTGCAGAGAGCTTGCTTTGATGTGCTCCTATCAGAGCAGTTCATCGTGCTCGACTCGTGCGCTACAGGCCCTCAGAAAAAAGGGTTCAAATTACGAGTACTGATTTGAACTAGCTGAAAGGGTCAGAGCCATTGTTATCATTGCTCTTTGGTCAATTGTCACGTGGCACTTTAAGGCACGTTCCGAGGCGACTTCTGAGCCATTTTCCTTTGTGCTGAATATCTCAGTTAATGGCAAATTCATTTCTTTAACGAAAGTCTGGGCAAACATTTTCATGTCTCAGGACATTGGCCAAAGACAAGATATTTAATTGCATAGCAAATTTTTTTCAATTTCATTTCGCAGTCCAGCTGGGAGCTTAAGCTGGACCGGAAGTCTATGTATGTGAGTGTGTGTGTGTGTGTGTGTGTGTGTGTGAGTGTGTGTGTGTTTCATCAGTATAAGGCTGTCAATTCATTGAAATGCCTGTGGCCAGCAGGTAATTGTGAATGTCACCCCTTGGCAGGAGACGGGGATAAATGAACGGAACAAGAAATAACGACCCCCATCCAAAAAATGCCACATCCAGCTACTTAATTTCCGTTTCTAGTGAATTTCTTTGCGGCTAATTTTGTTGCACAAACACACACAGGGAGAGAGTAAGAGAGAGAGAGAGAGGTAGAGTGGCACCGGCTTGAAAGCAGAACTGGGCCACTCACACAAAGACAGATTTGTACAAATGAGTGTGACTCTACATACACTCACACACACACACACACACACTTTCATTCACATATATATAAGTACAAATGGATTTTTAGTGCTTGCCATTTTCGCTGGGCAGCCGTAATGCTCGGCGCATAGTTTTATTCAACCGTAGCATAGCCCGAGCGAACTAAGAAATTATAACCAGGTTGGGCGTAGGTGACTAGGGATTGCCCTGCGAACCATTAGTTGACCGAGTGAGTTCTATATATAGATAACAACAACTTTAATAATGCAAATCGATATCTGGCTTAATGGCGGAACTATTATAGCACATATTCTATAACAATATGAAATCTCCTTGTCATATA